GCCGTTGCCAACAAGGATTATTTAGCTGTAACCGGACATTATTATAAAGGTTTTGATTTGGATAAGAGAATCTTAGGTTTCAAATGTGTTATAGGATCACATACTGCCAATTTAATATATAACACAATTTTATCTGTTATTGATGAATAGAGTTTAAGAGATAGAATTATGGCCATAACATTAGATAATGCAACTGCGAATACTAAAGTAATAGAACTTTTTGAAAATGATTTAAGTTTATTTAGTAATAATGATATTTTCCACCAACGTTGTGCATGTCATATAATTAATTTAATAGTAAAGTCCGGTTTAAAATCAATGTCAGGTCATATTAAAAGAATTAGAGATAACATTGCTTGGATTCAAGGTAGTAATCAAAGAATACAAGATTGGTTTAGATTTCTACAAGCATGTAATCAAAATCCTAGAGCATTAGCCTTAGATATGCCTATAAGATGGAACTCCACTTATATAATACTTGAACAATGCATCCCCTATAAAGATGCTATAACAAATTATGTTAGTGCAAAATTAGGAACATGATTTATAGATGAAACTGATTGACAAATTGCCGAACTTTTGTATAACTTTTTAGGTAGATTTCATGAAGTTACCTTAAAGCTTAGTGGAACTTATTACCCAACTTCACCATTAGCATTAGGAGAACTTTTAAGAATGTCTATTTTATTTAGTGAATTTAGGACACGTGAGGTTTTAGGAGTTCCTATCGCCTCTATGGAAAAGAAATTTAAAAAATATTGGTCTAAATTACCCATGTTGTATGGTTTCGGTGTTATTTTTGACCCTAGATTAAAATTAGAAGGTTTAGAAAGTGGATTAGGTAACTTAGGTGAATTTTTAGCTATAGACACTACTGACCAGTTTCCTATTATAAAGGAAAAAATATATGCTCTATATATCTCTTACGAAAGTAAGTTTAGAAACACACCTCGTGTTGAACAACCGCAACAACGAGACGACAATCCGCATTCATTCTTGAATGTTTTCGGGTTGTCTAAGAAGAAGAAGAAGAAGAAGACGACGACGAGTCAAGGTCAAGAAGAATCTGAGAGTGGAAGTGGATCTTCATCAAGAGGTGGCGGCGGATTCAACGAGTTAATGGCGTACCTGAGTGAGGGCTTAGTTGTAGACAGTAGTGAGGTGTTTGATTTGGTTGAGGGGTGGAGGGCACGCGCATTAACTTGGCCGATCCTAACACGACTGTCAATGGATATTTTTTCAATCCCGGTCTCCACCGTTGCAACCGAACAAGCATTCAGTACAACCGGCCGAATACTTGAAGAACGGAGAAACGCATTGCAGCAGGATATTGTTGAAGCTTTGGTGTGCATCAAGGATTGGGACCGTTCCGACCAATGCTTACACGATACAATCTCACCGGCAAACCAAGAATGGATCGACGAATTTAATAGATTAACTTTTAATTTTCAAGATGATCCTTCTGCTTCATCTTAATAATTTCTTTGTAAATATTTATTTACTTTGTAATTTTTAATTTGTATAGTGTTTATTGTAATTTGTAATATTGTATAGACTTTATAAGTTCATTAAATAATGTGTGACGATATAATTATAAGAATAAAAAAAAAAGACACATAATGTGTGACGATATAATTATAAGAATAAAAAATAGAACACATGAGTCGAATCCGCACATTCGTGGGACATGAACGACGTAATTGAGTGTTGATAAATTTAAGAATAAGGCAATTAGAAATTGAAAGAGGAAAAACATTGCCGACAAACTAGGCTGGGATCTTGGGTTTTTAGAGTAGGACTTCGCAGAGTTTACATTTGGCTTTGAGAGGTGAGGAAGTGCACACGTGGCGAATAATTAACATCCCTTACATAAATGAAAAAACTTTCGACTGAACTTTTGCTGAGTTAAAGCTGCGTCTAATGTCCCTCACCAAAGCAGCAAGACAATTTTACCCCTCACAAACTTTCAGTATTTCAAATACACCCTTCTCACAGGATATTTAAAGCCATCTTCACAAACTCTCTTTTCCCCACCATGCACGCGCTCTGTTTTCTACTCTCTACTCTATAAAGAATGCGTATCACCATCTCAATATATATATATATATATATATATATATATATATACACGCAGATCCTATATATACACACACATATATCTGTTTTTTTGGTAGAAAATATCACCATACAATATTTAAGTACACTCAATATTTCCTCATTAATAAATTTATTTTAATTAATTAGCTTCTAAGAGCGTTTTGCTTAGCGAAGAGTTTGTTTGTTCAAGGTAGGTCAAATATTACTGGCTATAAGTTTTTTATTTTTATTTTTTTTTAATAAAAGGGTTATAGGTTGATTTTCAGTATCTTATTTTCATTAGAGGTCATTTTCCTACTGAATTATTCTCTCCTACTTTTATCATAAACGGATAATAAACATTTCCTTCATGAATAAGTAAGTAAAGATCCTAATAGTTCTAGAAGACAAGGACCTTTAAATGAAAATACATTCTTTTAATATTTGTAAAACCGATTATTTTTTCTTTTATTATGAATGAATACACACATATATATATGTGTGCGCGCGCGCGTGTGCGTGTGTGTAATTTACTATTAATCCTTAAACCAATAAGCATGATCTTATAATTAATATTATCTTAGCCACTAAAATAGCTCTATCTAAAGTCAATTTACAAATATTGTTTCAACCTACGAACACAGGTTTAGTACATGCTATTGCTTGCATTGCATGTGCATTTCAACGTCAATGTTTTATTTGTTGGGTTGTGCATGCTAAACACATGAATTAATTAGAATGAGGAGGCTTTCTTGAGAAAAAAAGAACAAAAAAAATGAGGGGCTTTTTTTTTTTGTCTTCATTTGGCAGTTTTCTTCCTTGGTTTTGAACTTCAAATCAACAATCGATGGACTTTGAAGAACCCCAATTGGGATTGAAACTTCAAATCAAGCCGTCAACAACTGTTGCTTTGCGCGCCTGCAACAATTGTCGTTTATTTATTTGTTAAGTACAATTTAGGTCCGTTCACTTCGTTAATTTGAGTTTATAATTTGAGTTGAGATGTGATTTTATATGAGAATTTTTTACTGTAGCAAAAAAGTTAGATGTGATTGTTTGTGAGAGCTTTTTACTGTAGCAAAACTCAAATTCTAAACTTGAATTGGTGAAGTGAATGGGACCTTAATTAACATCAATCAAGCGCACAAAAAAGATTTAGAACTCATTATATTTTTAAAAATATATTTAGTAATTTTATTAAGAGATTATTTTTATTATAAAAAATTTATTAATGTCTCTATTTTTCTCCGTACTCGAGAGATGAGAAAACAAAAATAAAAAATAAAAAATAATTAAAAATTATTTTTCATTTCTCTCTTATTTTACACTAAATTAAAAAATTATTTTTATTTATGTTTATTATCTTTAATTGTGTCAAGCACGGTTTCTTTCATATTTTTATTTTTATTTTTCAAAAAACGTGAAAAAATAAAATAAAATCAAGTATAGACCACGGAAATTAAGCGCGAATTAGCAGCTTGAAAAAAAAAATGTGATAAATGTGCGTTTGAAATTCAATCAACTTGTAAAAGAAAGCAATGTGGAACATACAAACGAAAATGAAATTCATGAGCACAAATATATCATTTTCTAAGCCCCTATGTGATTCCATCACATATAGCTGTCATGTCATTTTTTCTCTTTCCCTCACCACATTTTCTTTGCTTGGTCATTTCCATTTGCATGAATTAAGATTCTTAGTTCTGTTACCTGCTTTGAAACAGCTATTTCTTGACTATAATAAAAGTAGAATTATTGAAATCAAAGCTAACATCGAAAGGTCCCCTCATTGACAAGAACCATGGAAAGGAGTAGAGGAGACGCCCCACAAATAAAACATATACCTCAGCAGAAAGATCTTAGTCCAAATAGTTTTAATTATATTTTCCAACGAATTCAAATTATTCAAAGCAAAGATTATTCATATTACGGCATGAAAAATCAGCCATGAGAAACAAATTTTAACCGTTGTATTAAATGCAGGGACAAGTTTTTAGCAGATAGTCAAATCATAATTATATTGTATCAAATAAAATGTAATAATTTATTAGATTAATATAGACTGAAGATATTTTCATATTTTATGCCTTTAAAGAATTTACCGAAGATATTTTTTAGGCTTAGCACATAAAAAAAAAAAAAAAAACATTATAAAATATGTTTCGGAGGCTTTCCCAAAATTGAGAGGTTGGTTTCCCACTTACGGTCAAAAGGGCGTGGGATATACACAAGAGAGAGGGTGAAAAAAAAGAAAAGAAAAAAAAAAAAAGAAGAAGAAGAGAAAAAAAAAAAATCAAAGTAAGCCCAAAAGAAAGACATACCATGAAATGTGAAACACAATGCCACATGCTTTGTCTCAAGCATCCATCCTTGTACTTCTTTTTCTTGGTTCAGAAAAGTTGAAAGCAACAAACAGGCTGTCCCTATTATTAATTGTGGGTTATTATTTATTAATATTATTTTCACTTTTTTATACCATGGTCATGTATTTCAAACAAACCCTCAAAATAGTAAGCTCAGCTTTGAAAGCAAAATCTCTCAACCTCCTTTTGGCTCTCACATTCAACAAGTTCCTCCTCTAGTTAGTCACTGACCACCCTTCTTCTCTTTCTCTCTCTCTAATCTCACAGTTTAGTAAATTCAATAAATTATCCATTCTCTCTCTCTCCCTCTCTGCAGAAATCTCAATGGCATTTGCTGACAGGTACAACAATTGATTCTTCACTTCTAAACTCAACGAAACTCATCTTTCTCTCTCTCTCCTCTCTCTGATCTTCTCTTTTTCAAGTTTCTTTTTTTAATTGGCACCCACTTCTTGGTTGGTTTTTAATGGAATCTATTGTCAGTGAATAAATGGCTGGAAAGAGCACTTGTGTAGCCTCTCTCTCTCTCTCTCATGTTTATTTATTCAGTTATATATGATTTTTTATTTTATTTTATGATCTATAATGGTTCTTTTCTCCAAATTCAGCTTCCGAGTTCCTTGGAGCAATATGTGTAACTTGATACCACTTTCCCACCTGTTTTTAATAATCTAAACAGAAAAAAAGGCATTACTTTGTATTACGAGGTTGTTTCTTTTATTTATTTATTTTATTTGACTATTCTCTAGGTGAAGAACTGCGATGTGCTCTTGCAATATTTTGCAGCTGCATTTTTTACCTTTTTTTTTTCGTGACTATCATGAGTTTCTATTTTTTATTTACTTTATGATTTGAGTTGGTAAGCTGCTCCTAATCAAGGATTGGGGTAGTTGGCTTCTTATTTTTGTTTTAGCACAAAACTTGCTTATTTCAAGCTGCAGATGGAAATTTGTACTAATTGGTTTGCTCACTTTTTCTGCTCACTTGGGTTTTCTGACAAAGTAGATATATGTATATTTTTTTTTTGCTTGTATTTGTTTCTTCTCCTCAATATATCTATCTTGCTGCAAATTTCATACTAGTTTCTTATTTTGCAGATGATATAAACAGAAAAAAGAAGCCAAAATATTTTGTGCGGATAAGGTGTGAAGAATCCAACAAAGTACAAAAAAAAAAAAAGTGAAGAGTTTTTATGGACTGGAACTCCAAAGCACCAACTTCTTGGGATTTCACTGAGCTAGAACAAGAAACATTCTCCAACTTGGACACAGTTAATGGGTCTAACAGCTTTGGAGATCAAAAGGCCATTAGGGAGGACTTCTCAGTAGACTTGAAGCTGGGTCAGACGGGAAATTCAGGCAATGAAATGGTGGATACGTGGAGGGAGCCGGGGGCGGTTCCGAAACCGGTGTCTTCACCGTCGGGATCGTCGAAGAGGTCGCGTGGGTCCTACAATGGATCCCAGGCAGTTTCATGCCTTGTTGATGGGTGTAATGCAGACCTTAGCAATTGTAGAGATTACCATAGGCGCCATAAGGTTTGTGAACTCCACTCCAAGACTCCTCAGGTCACAATTGGTGGCCACAAGCAGAGATTCTGCCAGCAGTGTAGCAGGTATGAAATAGTAGACAAAACTATGATTGAGAGCGATTGTTCTTTTCTAACAAAATTTAGAAAAAATTTAAACTCGAGTTATAATTTTATTTAAATTCACGTTCTTTTAAGTTTCAACTTTATTCAAGTTATAACTTCAACTTAAGTTATAATTCAAATTTAACTTAAAAACTACACTCAAGTTACACTTCAAAAGAACAATCCCAGAATTATTCTCGTTTTTTTGTATTTTTTAGAGAAAAATACCGTAAAGAATCATAAATTATGATTTAAAATAAGGACGAATACAGAAAAGAATCGTTGTTACTTTTTTTTTCTGTCATATAACATGTCAGATTACTTCAAATTTTGTACTGGAATTGTTAGACTTAAGTGACTCATTTTTGGATAGTTAATTTATATTCCTTAATCCTATCTGTTTTCCATATAAATGTTCTGATTTATTGTGGACAAGGGTTTCGGAAGTATTGACACGAAGAGCTTGGTTTTTGTTTTTAGGAGAATTTTTAGACACGGTTTTTAACTCTCAGATTTTCGTCATTTTTTTTTGTTTCCTTTAACCGTCGTATTTTTATTAATTTTATATGATTATGATGTGAGCTAAAGTTAAAAACCGTATCCTACCGATATTATATTTTAAAAATCAAGCTCTATGGATGTAGTGATGATTATTACTACAACGTAGAATCGCAGATTATATAGTCATGTCATGCTATTGAACTCTTATACCAAGTCCAGATTTTGCTGTGAATTTGGTGTTTTCTTGGAAAAGTAGTCTTCTCATGAATTCATCTCCTCGTCGTAGGTTCCATTCGCTCGAGGAATTCGACGAAGGAAAGAGGAGCTGCAGAAAACGTCTTGACGGACACAACAGAAGGCGAAGGAAGCCTCAACCGGAGCCCTTCTCGCGCTATGGAAATTTGTTGTCCAATTACACCGGTTAGTTGGAGATTTTTGTTAGTATCACTAAAAAGAACTACTCTAAAAAAAGCTTTCGCACTAAAAAGAATTAAGGGCCACTATTAATTATTTCCAAAGTGCTCTTAATCATGGAGATCACGAAAAAATATGCTTTAATGAGACATAATAGCTTTTTAATAAGATATATATATATATATCTTCCATTCATCATGCTTGGTGGCTATTTTGACAACTATTAGCACTAGGGAGGCCTTTCTTTGTCTTGGATATCATGTTAATGGCATATTTTATTAGTATATATAATGAATATCCATTGAAACATAAAATGTACTCTAACTAAAGCTTACATGTGTTCCCGATCAAGAATTCCTTTTACCCCCAAAGAGTTAACTAACACTCGTTGCTATGCTTTCTCAATATATATATATATATATATGATGATAAATTGATCTGATATCAATTTCCTTTACACTTTCTTGCAGGTACTCAATTGTTACCATTTTCTAGCTCACTAATATATCCCTCCACCACAGTTGTGAACCCCAGCTGGCCGGGAGGTGTCGTTGTCAAAACCGAGGCAGATTCCGGTCTCCACAACCACCATCCACAACTACCCTTTCTTGATAAGCAAAACATGTTTATGGGTTCACCCTCCCCCACCACCAACACAACCTACAAGGGATGCAGTAATAAGCCCTTCCCACTCTTGCAAGATCACAGCCCCACAATCAACAGCAGCCACACAGCACCCGAGGTTTCGGCATGCCATAATCATCCCCTCCTAAGGACATTTCCTTTGTGTGAGAGTAGTAGTGAGTCCAAGAGCAAAGCGTTCTTCGACGTCCAACACTCGGATTGTGCTCTCTATCTTCTGTCATCATCCCAAGCGCAAACATCTGAGATCAGTTTGGGACACAACAACTCGCAGCTTGGCTCAATGCCAATGGTGCACCACCCCGCCCTATATGTGCACGGCGGCTTAGAGCCCATGAGTTCAGTTTTGATGGCCAATGGAAGTAGTGGCAATGCTGAGTCAGTACATTGTCCAAATGGGATGTTCCACATGGGATCTGTTGGCAATGAAGCCCCTCATCCTCATGAAACACTTCCATCTCATTGGGGGTAGTATATGATTGGGAAAAAAAAAAAAAAAGTTCAAGATTTTAAGACACAAATTAGTCAATGATATTTTTAATTTTCTCTTATTTAATGATTATTGTGGAGTAAAATACAACTTTCTTTACTCAATCCAAAGTTAGTAGTTTAGTTGAACAATTTCTCTTTAAACTACTATATTTTCTGATGGCGATTTCATTATTTGTTTAAACGTTAATTCATTGCAAGGATGACATATGCTTGTGGAATTGGGGCATTAATGAGATCATTTTCAAAGGCTAAATAGCACAATCTCTTCATTTTGTGGAATTGGGGCATTAATGAGATCATTATTGTTTCTTTGCTTATTTATTATCGTTTTTCAGGTTGTTAATTATGTTCTTGTTTCTTTTTTCGTCATTCTGATATGCGGTACTCATGGTTTAACTTTTTCTTCATATTGAAAAGCCCACTAATAAAAATAAAATAAATAAATAACGATCATGGAAAGCTAAGTTGAGAAGAATTGTCAATCATAAGGATATTGTTGATATATCTTAACCATGACGATGAAAGATTTCTAGCATTACGCATTATCATATGCGAATTGGACTTTTGAAGAATTTAAATTTCTAATTTAAAAGGTTAATCTGATTAGTGAAGAGACCCAATATTTTTATAATTTGGTTTATATTATTATATTTAAACGAGAAGTGATATGAGACTCAAGTTTGTTTTTACAATTTACACGCCTTCACAAAATGGTATTCTTCTTAGAGTCATTAATTTTGTATTTGATCGATCGTGTTGCTCGTTTGAGTTCGTTGCACTATAATACCATGACGCAAATTAGATTCTAAAAACTTGGATTTTGATCTTAAAGGTAACCTGTTTAGTAGAGAGACCTAACGTACTTATAAATTGGTATTTGTTGTTGTATTTAAATATGTAGCAGTCAATTTTATTTTTACCCTTTACATTATCAATAACACTAGTACTAAAAGTTCTATACAACTGAAAAGGGCGAAAACTTAAAGCAAGAACAAAAAGAAGAGCGACGAGGTACTTGGCTGCTAGTTTCTTTTTCATATATGTATATATATAATGTAATATATATCTCTATACATATCATGCATGTGTTTTAATTCAATTCCTTTTCCGTTTTTTTTTTCTCCCTCCAAGGCCAATATTGTGGTAGGTGATATATATCAAGGTGAAAAGAAATGAAACAATAAAATGAAGAAAACAACAACGACATGAAAAGACAATTAGAACGAGGACAAAGGACAAGAAGGTCAACAACTCAAACGACAACAAAATGAAAACCTACAGAAACTGAAAACGACAATAAGGTAAGAAGGGGACATAAAGTAATGAAAAACAAAGGACTCACAAACGACAACAACAAAAATCAGAAAAAAGACGAACAAATCAAAGGACAGTAAAAAAAAAAGAAAGAAATGAATAAAAGGAAACAGAATATTTATGATGGGGATTTTTTTTTTTAATTCTAATTGGTTTAGTTTTGTTAATGGACAGATCTGCAGTTGGAAGCAATAACGAAAACGCTCAAACGATACCCAAATGAAAACCAACAGAAACTGAAAACGACAACAAGGTAAGAAGAGGACATAAAGTAATGAAAAACAAAGGACTCACAAACAACAACAACAACAACAAAAGTCAGAAAAAGGACGAACAAATCAAAGGACAGTAAATAAAAAAGAGAAATGAATGAAAGGAAACACAATATTTATTATAGGGAAGGCTTTTTTTTTAAAAAAAAAAATTCTAGTGGGAGGTACTGTTGTTTTTTCTATTGGTTTTTTTTTTTTTTAAGTGAATAACAATGTATTGAAAGACATTATTTGTGAAAAGGATTTTTTTGTTTTGTTTTGTTTTTTTTTTTTTTTTTGAGAACTTTGTGAAAAGGATATTAAATAAATAAAAGAGTCAAAGATAGCAATTGAGAAAACAAACAAAAAGTCAAAGGACAACAAAGAGAAAAGGAAAAGGAAATGAAAAGAGTGAACTCCGATGTTAAATATGATAGAGGAGACGTTTTCATATTATTAGTATGGAAGGCGATTAATTTTTTAATGGTTAGATATGAGTGTCTATATTTCAGCCACAAATCTAACTGTTGAAAGGTGAATCTAATTATTAAAAAGTAGTACCTATCCATAGAGTAACAAAGCCTCACCATAAGTTTTGTCTTTGTTAAGTGAAATAACGGAAGAAACAACAAAGGAGTGAAACACGACAAATAAATGGTAAAACGACAAAAAAATGAGCGTGAAAAAAACCACGGCAAACGACAAGAATTGAGAAGACAACGAGAAACTGAAACGATGACAAATGAGAAAACGACAAAAAAAAGAGCGTGTTAAAAACCATGGCAAACGACAAGAATTGAGAAAACGATCAGAAACTGAAACGATGACAAATGAGGAAACGACAAAAAATCCAAAACGCATCCAAAAAAACTACGACAAATGAGAAAACGACAACAAATTAATTGCAAACCCCAAACCATAACAAAAACCAGAAAAATACAACAATGAAGAAAATGACAACTTACAGGAACAACAAATCAAAGAACGACAACATGGTTATATACATCAAAAAACGACAACAACGTAAAAGAAAAAAGTAAAAACATAACGAAGACCACAAGAAATGAAAAACGACCCAAAAGAAATAAACAACAATTTGCAGCACGTAATTATAGTTTTGCCGAGATACTGTCGTTTTTAACAGTTATCCTTGCGTACTTGCATCTGCATTTTATTTATTTATTTTTTTCAAGTTTTAACGTTGTCTTACAAAATGATAAATGAATGACTTTGTCGATCAAAAATCAGGCACAATCATTGAAATTTGTGTTTGGTTTAAGGATTCATATTATGGTTTAAATAATAATTCGTAATTCGTTATAATATTTTTTTTTCACAAAAAATACACGTAAATTAAAAATAATTTTAAATCATAATTCTGACTTCATCAACCAAACGTGAAAGTTTAAAAGAAAAAGATTCAAATTGTTTAGTAATAAATAAAAAAATGAAAAATGAAAAAAAACCATAGATCAACACGTTGACTTTAAGCTTTGCCCAAACCATATACTACATTAAAATAAACAATAAAAAAAGTGACATTGGAGAAAAATAACATAATTAATAAATTGTATCATATTATTAAAAAATAGTAAATTATAGTATAGTATTTTAAGTTTTAAACATTATTAAAAACTTAAAAATACCCTTAAACATCTTTTTCTATCTCATTCCTCCTTTTTAAATATCTATTTTTTAAAAAATAGTAGATTATAGCATATTTTTTAAAATAGGTAGATTATAATTAAGTCCACTATGGCCTACTTCGACGACCGGAGACTATTTTTCAGCAACCTATGACTGTTTTTTGGCGACTGATGACTGTTTTTCGGTGACTGTTTTTCAGTAATTGTTTAACACTGTATTTACTAGTAAGTATCGTATTTACTAATAAATATCATATTTACCCGTAAAGTCGACAACCAACTCCAGCGACCGTTTATCGCTATATTTACCAATAAATATGATATTTATTAATAAATATCATATTTACTTAAAAATACAGCCACTGACTTCGGTGATCGTTTAACATTGTATTTATTAGTAAATATCATATTTATCCAAAAATTTATGCACCGATTCATGACACCTTTTAACATTGTATTTACTAATAAATACAATATTTACCAGTGAATACCGTATTTACGAGTAAATATCATATTTATCTGAAAATTCAACTATCGAGTTCGGTAACCATTTAACACTGTATTTACCAGTAAATACCATATTTACTCATAAATATCATATTTATCTGATGATCCCGCCACCGACTCTGATAGCCATTAAACAATATATTTATTAATAAATACCATATTTACTAATAAATATCAAATTTATCTAAAATCTAGCTGTTGATCCCGGCGACTGTTAAATACTGTATTTACTAATAAGTATCGTATTTACTAGTAAATATAATATTTATTATATTTATATGAAAATCTGACAACTAATTTTGACGACTGATTAATACTATATTTACTAATAAATATCATATTTATTTAAAAATCTAACGGTCGACTAACAACTAATAAATATCATATTTATCTAAAAATTGAACCACCCGCAACTAATAAATACCATATTTATTCAAAAATTTAAAAGCAAATTCTAATAACTGATAAATACTATATTTAATAATAAATATTTTATTTACAAATAAATATCATATTTATATAAAAATCTAATAACTAATTGTGACTACCGGTAAATATCGCATTTATCGTAAATCTTGATAAAATGACCCCGTTCTTTTCGCTGATTTGAGTTTTGCTACAGTAAAAAGCTCTCAGAAACAGTCACATCTAACTTTTTTGCTACAGTAAAAAGCTCTCACACAATATCACATCTCAACTCTAATTAGTGAACCGAACGGGACTAGGACAAAAATAAATCATCGTCGGCCAAAAATAAAACAGCAGTAAATCTGCCATTATCGTGGCCAAAAAACAAACAACGGCCTCGTTCATTTTACCGATTCGAGTTTTCAGTTTTAAGTTTCTACAGTAAAAAACTCTCAAAAAATGTCACATCTAACTTTTATGCTACAGTGAAAAGCTTTTAAAAAATATCACATCTCAACTCGAATTAAAAACTCGAATCCGCGAAGTGAACGAGACCGCCATTTCTCAAAAAAGAAAAATCTCCAAAATCAGAAACTAAGGCTCCGTTCATTTCACCAATTCGAGTTTAGAATTTGAGTTTTGCTACAGTAAAAAGTTTTAAAAAATAGTCTTTTTTTTACTACAGTAAAAATTTTTTACATAAAATTACATTTCAACTCAAATTAAAAACTCGAATCAACGAACTAAATGAGACTAAACATCATTTTTTAGGGAAACAATCAACAACCAAATCAGCAAAATACTTGACAAAACTCGGCAAAAATGATGTTCAGTTTTGCTGCCATCAAAGATCGGAGAGAGAAAGGATCTGATGGTGACGATTTCAGCGATGAAGGTGACTGGAATGGCTGAACCAGATCGGCGTCATCCTCCATTTGTGATATCCGAGTTCAGACGGCGAAGGAGACTACAGATTAGACTTCTGGAGGGGAGGACAGAGCAGATCCGACGCCAGAGAAGGTTCGGTCTGATTCCGATGGAGACAAAGCAGATCCGAGCTTTGTAATGGCGGCGTAATGCCTCGATCTGTGAGATGACGACCTCGATCTACGATCTCCGTCGGAGATCACGGAGATAATAGTGGTCTTCGTC